TGTCATTGATAACATCTTATCAGGAGACAGGGTTTGAGAGCAGACAACGTGTCTGACCAAAAATTATTAGGTGGGAATTTCCTCATCCTAATAAGCCTGGGAGTGCTACAGGAGACTGGGGCTTATTTCATCCCTTCAGCTTCAACCGTAAAAGGTGACCGCCTCAAGGGGACCATCTATAGACCTACCCTCAGAGCGCATTCTCTTTCTCTGGGATGTTCCTTGCTGAGAAAAAGAATTCAGTGATATTTCTCCTATTTGCTTTTGAAAGAAGAGAAATATGGCTCTGTTCCGCCTGGCTCACCGGCAGTCAGAGTCCAAGGCCATCTCCCTTGTTCCCTGAACATTGCCGTTATCCTGTTTCTTTTTTCAAGGCACCAAGATTTCATATTGTTCAAGCACACATGCTCTACAAACAATTTGTGCAGTTAATGCAATCATCACAGAGTCCTGAGGTGACATTCATCCTCCTCAGTTTACGAAGATGATGGGATTAAGAGATTAAAGACAGGCATAGGAAATCAGAAGGGTATTGTCTGGGGAAGTGATAAGTGTCCATGAAATCTTCACAATTTATGTTCTTCTGCCACAGCTTCAGCTGGTCCCTCCATTCAGGGTCCCTGACTTCCCGCAACACACTGGTTTCTTAGTTTTGACAAATATATCATGGAGGTGTAAGATGTTAGCACAGGAGTAAATTGAGTGAAGGAATATAAGAGAACTCTATTGTCTGCATTATCTATAATCATTCCAAAATAAAAAGTTAATTTTTAAGAAGTTGGTTGAATCTAAAAAGATGCCCAAAGTCTCAACTCACATTGTGTTGCTGGGTTAACCAGAACAGATGATACCTTCTCTGGAATTCCGTCATTGTGATCTTACATACTAAACCACTAACAGAATTAATGGTACTCTCCTGTGGGTTATGAAATGAATTATTACCTAGTGGATATGAGTTTGGACTACTTGTTCCAGACTGCTGGGGTTTGAAGCTGGGCTCTACCAATTACCAGTTAGGTGACTTTCAGCACATTACTTGATCTTTTCATGCTCCAATTCCCTCATCTGTAAAATATTAACCTACCTCATAGGGCTGTTGCGAGCAAAGTAGTTTAAAGTCACACATGCAAAGTCCGTAGGATAGTGTCTGGTACATTGAAAGAACTCGAAAAGTGATAGCAGTGGTGATGATGGTGATGTCTCCAAATAATTATTTATGTAACACTTACATCAATATCTCATTGCTTATCCCAACTTCTGTTTTAGATGATGAGATCTTTGAGGATAAAACAATGTTTTATTTATCTTTGTATTGCCATGCCTGATAAATAGTAAGTACATTGTTGATTGAATGTATGCTTGGTTTCTTGAGTCCTAACTTGTCTTATCCAGGATATGGGTATAAATATGCCTACTGCCAAATTACAGGCTTAGGTAGGAGACAGTGATAAATTAGTGATAAATAAATCAGCATTGCCTGATGCTCTAACTTCAGTTAGGGATGCAAATACATGTTTCTGACATCTCTCTATTCTCCTCACTGCTGCGGAAACTCACCAGCATATATGCTCCAATATATATTTGAATTTATCTGAAAATGATAAAACTCTACATTAAATACAGCTGAAGACAAGTACTTGGATTCTAAGAAGGTAGGGATTATAGCAAGACAGGACAATGTAAGAGAATGTGGGATACTCCACTTATGTGGAACATTCAACGTGTCTATCTTCCCTGAAGGCTTGAGAGAAGATTCACTAAATTTAAAAAATACAAACCAAAGTCTGTAAAATGTTCTTGGGCATTCTAGAAGGACAGGGTTTCCATTTTAGATTTATTATGGTGTTATTTTACTATTGAGAGGGAACATAAATAATTTAAGACATTTACTAACACGTGCAAGGACTTAATTTTTAAAGACAGTGTGTTGAAAGTTGGGCACGATGGCATGTTCCTGTAGTTCTAGCTGTTTGGGAGGCTGAAATGGGAGGATCACTTGAGCACAGAAGTTTGAATCCAGCCTGGACAACATAGTGAGATCTCTTGTCTAAAAATAAAATAAAATAAAGATAATGTGTTGAGAAATGAGCTGTAGTGGTATTGATGGTAATGAGTGGAACTGAATTTCATTCTGAAATGAATATGACATTGTTGCTATAAAATGTGCTGGAAATGAATTTATTTGGGGCTCTTGTTCTCTTTTGACAATGCCAAGTTGCACCCTTTGAGTTGCCCCTTGCCCAGTATCCATAGGAAAGATTTAAAAATCACTGTATATTCATTGAATTGACAAATCCTTTTCCAAATTACTCTCTCAGTAACTAGAAGGTTATTTACATTGTGAACAGCAATAGAAAGGGTGTTCAAAATGACTGAAGCTACCTGGCCAGAGGACCTTGCCATATGTTTGATAACTCAACCTTCCCCTTCCCCTTCTTTTTCCAAGACAAGCCAAAAGCCCAGCTTACATCCTGGCCACACATTTGTAAGTCCAAATTCTACCCATATAATTTAGGCACCTGAATTATAGCATTCTATCTTTATAGGCTTTGAATAAAAGGAGTGTTAAAGTAACTCTCATAAGCACTGTTGCCATTCCATCCAAGGCTGTGAATTACCACATGGTCTGGAAGAGAGGGTGGAAACATCATCCTAATTTGGGGGACCAAGCTACCTGGCAGTAGTTGATATAGCTAATTCTTGAACCCTGCTTTTCAGATGGAATTGCCCAGTGTTGTAATTGACTAGATTTGGCTCATGGAATTCCAGATGCTCTTCTGGTAATTATAGTGCAAGGCTAAATTTTCTGTTCTCATTTGTCCTTTTAAACTACTTTATTCCTCATTTGGTCTCTTTCACCCAGTGTTTAGGGGTTACAACTTTTATGACTAAAATTTAGTTTTAAGTGGAAGAAAAGTTAGCTCCTGCTACCATGGTACTAGTTAATCATAAGTTCATAAAAAAAGCTAACATACTGGGTCAGAGAGCCAGCATTAAAATTTGATGTGTATGGGGAAAATAAATTAAAAAGGTCTGGTAAAAAGCTTGCACTCTGAAGCTTTTTATCTGCCATCTGTCATCTGAGGCATAAACCTGTGCCCTCATGTGTACCCAACTGCAATGTATCTCTTCTATGGAAAGCCAGATAATTACAAGGTTCCATAGTCCCTTGGCAGATTGAATAAAGGGTTACTTTAATTTCTTTTCATAGGCTCTAGATGTATATTGTGTTCTGTAAAGATACTGTACAGAGTTCTGTCATAAGGCTGACTATAAGCATTGTATAAATTAGTATCTCTGTTTAGCAAGTAGTAACCTGAGATCAGCTCAAGAGCACATAACGTGTAGTTATCTTTAGGATGTGAGGATGACTTTGATTTTGTTTATCATCATCTTGGTTAAGAAGTAACATGTACAAATCAAGTAGTAGACATTCATCAGATGCTTCTAGCTCAACATAAGGGACATATATTCATCTATTCAACCATTCAATGAGAAGACCAATAACTCATTATCATTATTTATGTGCAAAAGAGAAATATGTTGTAGAGCAGTGATAAATGTAGGGGCAAGTAGAGAAAATAGTTTATTTAGTTAAGGGACATTTAATGTCACAGCTCTAATTAATCAGGGAATAGATTGGGAACAGATTTAGGTTTCAAAAGGGAAGAGGAAGAATTTGTGAGCATATATGTGTGTGTGTGTGTGTGTGTGTGTGTGTGTGTATCAGAAATAGGAAGGAAGGAGTTATTTAGCAAGTTTCTGTAGGGGAGGCTTGGAAGATGAGGGCCAGGTAATTTCACAAGAACTTTGAGGTTTAACATGAAAGTAAAACAATACATTTCTTTAGGTATGACAAAGAACACTATATTATCTGCCTTTTGGCCTTTTTACATGTAATTCAAGATCAGTTTTAAAAAATAAAGAAGGTATAATAAATTTATTTAAATAAACAAACAGTTTTAAATAATATGGAGAGGACTAAACGTACTTGGATGAATGCAGAAGAATAAAGAGGAGTTTGCAAAGCACGCTGTGGATGGTCAACAAATTATAATTTATTGTGGTAATAGGAAGAGGACAATTAAAATAATTTAAGGGCTGGCAAATGTAAGGAGTGACAAGGATTAATGTAATTTTATTGTTTTTCTTCGAGAAGAAAAGGATGTGGGATGACAGGGTTGCTGGCTTCAAGTTTGGAGATTAGTCAGGTGAGCAGAGGTGAGCATTAGTGATGGGTATTGTTTTTTTAGTTTTGCTGAAGAAAATAAAGGATGGAAATTCTTACTCTGTAGAATAAGTACCTTAAAAAGATTTTTTAAAAAATTGGAACCCATATACACCTACTTTACATGTTCATTTTTGATGAATTTTGACAAATGTATACTCCCATATATTTACTACCACAATCAAGCTATAGAACATTTCAGTGACTGAAAAATGTTTCCTTGTGCTTTTTTCCTAGTCAGATCTCTTCTCTGCTTCTGTCCGCAGGTAATCCCTTACCCACTTTCTGTCACTATGGATTGGACATACCATTTAAAAGAGTTTCACATAAATGCAGCCATATAGTATGTACTCTTTTTTGTCTGGATTCTTTTGCTCAGCATAAAGTTTTTGAGATTTATCCATGTGTTAGTGGTTTATTCCTTATTATGGCTGAGTAGTATTCCATTGCATAGATATACCACAATTTATCCATTCACCTGCTGATGAGCATTTGGGTTCTATAGTAGTATAATTAAATATAAATTATTTCATGGTCCTGTTCCTCTGGACTGTGAACTTCTCTAGTGGTGTAGCTTTTTAGAAAATTTTCCCTTAAATGAGGCAGTCATGCTTTAAGGAGCTGGAATAGGAGAAAAGCCCCTTTCCCCAGCTGTGATAAAGCTCTGGAAAGGTCTTTTCCTCTGGAGATTAGGATTTTGGTTATTGAGAAAATTCTAAGCCTATTTCACAGCGATTACTCTTCCCTCACCTTTGCCAGAGCCATGACTGGACCTATTTTGGATCTTCACTATGAGAACCTGGTGGGATTCCTGGAGGTCAAGGCCATGAGAGTATGTGTTCCCCTTAAGACTTGACCCCAAGGCATTTTTTTGCTCTTACTTCAGTCCACATTCAGCCTCCAGCAATTAGTCAAACTACCATTAAGTGTTCCTACTAGTTTATGGCTCCAGCATCTTTTCCCTCAGGTAAGTACGTCTTGGCTGTGTCTCCCTGGATGGTGCCTATCTCTTCAAACTTCAAGGTGACAGTCTCTCTGTGATCTCAGTTATCTAACAGGTCCAAGAAGAGCCTTGATTTTCAGTTTGCCCGGGATTTTCCTTGTTGTAAGGGTTAGGGTGACAACTTCTAAGATCTTTATAAGTTGGAGCTAAAACCAGAAGTCTCCCTCACCTTTATTTTTGAAAGATATTTTCACTGGGTGTACAATTCTAGGTTGACAGCTGTTCTTATTTCAAGATGTATTTTCTTTTTTTTTTTTGTATATGCTATAATTTTATTCAACTGGAAGTGCAGTAGGTGTGTTTTCTTTTTTTCATACTTTATGTTCTAGGGTACATGTGCACAACATGCAGGTTTGTTACATATGTATACATGTGCCATGTTGGTGTGCTGCACCCATTAACTCATCATTTACATTAGGTATATCTCCTAATGCTAACCCTCCCCTCTCCCCATGATAGGTCCTGGTGTGTGATGTTCCCCTTCCTGAGTCCAAGTGATCTCATTGTTCAGTTCCCACCTATGAGTGAGAACATGCGGTGTTTGGTTTTCTGTTCTTGTGATAGTTTGCTAAGAATGATGGTTTCCAGCTGCATCCATGTCCCTACAAAGGACACAAACTCATCCTTTTTGATGGCTGCATAGTATTCCATGGTGTATATGTGCCACATTTTCTTAATCCAGTCTGTCACTGATGGACATTTGGGTTGATTCCAAGTCTTTGCTATTGTGAATAGTGCCGCAATAAACATACGTGTGCATGTGTCTTTATAGCAGCATGATTTATAATCCTTTGGGTATATACCCAGTAATGGGATGGCTGGGTCAAATGGTATTTCTAGTTCTAGATCCTTGAGAAATCGCCATACTGTCTTCCACAATGGTTGAACTAATTTACACTCCCACCAACAGTGTAAATGTGTTCCTATTTCTCCACATCCTTTCCAGCACCTGTTGTTTCCTGACTTTTTAATGATTGTCATTCTAACTGGTGTGAGATGGTATCTCATTGTGGTTTTGATTTGCATTTCTCTGATGTCTAGTGATAATGAGCATTTTTTCATGTGTCTGTTGGCTGCATAAATGTCTTCTTTTGAGAAGTGTCTGTTCATATCCTTTGCCCACTTTTTAATGGGCTGCTAGCAAGACTAATAAAGAAGAAAAGAGAGAAGAATCAAATAGATGCAATAAAAAATGATAAAGGGGATACCACCACCGACCCCACAGAAATACAAACTACCATCAGAGAATACTATAAACACCTCTATGCAAATAAACTAGAAAACCTAGAAGAAATGGATAAATTCCTGGACACATACAGCCTCCCAAGACGAAACCAGGAAGAAGTTGAATCCCTGAATAGACCAATAGTAGGCTCTGAAATTGCTGAAATTGAGGCAATAGTTAATAGCCTACCAACCAAAAAAAGTCCAGGACCAGATGGATTTACAGCTGAATTCTACCAGAGGTACAAGGAGGAGCTGGTACCATTCCTTCTGAAACTATTCCAATCAATATAAAAAGAAGGAATCCTCCCTAACTCATTTTATGAGGCCAACATCATCCTGATACCAAAGCTTGGCAGAGACACAACAAAAAAAAGAGAATTTTAGACCAATATCCCTGATGAACATTGATGCAAAAATCCTCAATAAAATACTGGTAAACTGAATCCAGCAGCACATCAAAAAGCTTATCCACCATGATCAAGTGGGCTTCATCCCTGGGATGCAAGGCTGGTTCAATATACGTAATCCAGCATATAAACGTAATCCAGCATATAAACAGAACCAAAGACAAAAACCACATGATTATCTCAATAGATGCAGAAAAGGCCTTCGACAAAATTCAACAGCCCTTCATGCTAAAAACTCTCAATAAATTCGGTATTGATGGGACCTATCTCAAAATAATAAGAGCTATTTATAACAAACCCACAGCCAATATTATACTGAATGGGCAAAAACTGGAAGCATTCGCTCTGAAAACTGGCACAAGACAGGGATGCCCTCTCTCACCACTCCTATTCAACATAGTGTTGGAAGTTCTGACCAGTGCAATCAGGCAGGAGAAAGAAATAAAGGGTATTAAATTAGGAAAAGAGGAAGTCAAATTGTCCCTGTTTGCAGAAGTCAAGATGTATTTTCATTTCTTTAGGCTTGAATGCTTTCTAACAAGAGATCTGAAGTGTTCTTTTTTTTTAGTTCCTCTGTACATAATTCTCTTTTCCTCTACTCTCCTCTGGCTGCATTTAATATTTTTTCTTTATTGTTTCTTTTTGACAATTTGATTAGGCTATGTCTTTGTATGGTTTTCTTTATGTTTATCTTCCTTTCAATTTGTTGATATTCTTGCTTCTGTGGGTTTACAGTTTGTATGATTTTGGACATTTTTGACTATTATCTCTTTGAATAATTTTTATATTCCTCCCTCTATCTCCTTTCTTTCTGGAACTCCAATTAATGAATGCTATCCTGTTAGGCCACTTGATATTGTACAATGGGTCACGGAGTTTCTGTTCATTGTTTTCAGACTTTTTTTTTCCTGCTTGTCTCAGGTTGGATAGTTTTGATTGCTGTCTTCAAGTTTACTAATCTGTTCTGCTATGAATCCTGTTCAGTGAGTTTCTTATTCCATGTATTGTGTTTTTCATTTCTAAACATTTCACTTGGCTTTTACCTATATTTTTCATTATCTCCTCATTATGTTTGTATTTTTCCTTAAAAATTTGAGCACACTGAGCATCTTTTTCGTTGCTATTTTTAATGTATTTGTTTGCTAATTCAATCATTGCTGTGATTTCTTGATCTCTCTTAACTGATTACTTTTTCCTGGTTATCTGTCAGAATTTCGTGCTTCTTAACATGCGTGATAATCTTTTAATTGGATGATGTACAGTGTGAAGTTTACATTGTTGAGTGTGGATTTTAGTTGTATTCCTTTAAAGATTGTTGGGCTTTGTTCCATAGGCAGTTAATGTACTTGTGGATCAGTTTGATCCTTTTAAAGCTTGTTTTAAAGCTTCTTAAGGGCAGATCTAGATGCAGGTTTAGCCTTGTTATTAAGAAATGATCATGCTGACATCTTTATTGAATGATCCTTCTGTTCTCTGAAGTCTGTTGGTAGTGGCTGGTGGGAGCACTAATGATTCCTAGCCACATGTGAGTTCTAGGATTTTTTGTCTCACCCCTCTCTGATATGACCAGAAGGAATAAATTCAGTGGAAAGAAAGGAGAATTGTGGAGGGGAAGAGAGAAAGAGAGAAAGAGGGAAGAGGGAGAGAGAGAGAGAAAGAGAGAGAGAGAACTAAATAGAATGGGAACTAGGGTATGAGGGTAATTTGCATTTGCCTAACTTGAGAACTCTTTTTCCACTTTTGACTCCCAGAGGGCTCCAATAAGTGTAGGTATGATCCTTACTTCCTCACTGCATACTTTTTCTTAATTGTGAGTGGATTAACCTGGGAGTTACCCCTAATAATGAGGATGAATCTGTATCTACCTTTTGTCCCCTGAAGCTTACCCCTAATATAGCCAGTAAACCAGGAAATTAGACACAATTGTCTCAATTTAATGAATCCTAGACAGACTATCCTTAGATTCTTGACCACCTTCTCTATGTAGAGAGATTTGAGAATATTGCTGACCAGAAAAAGCACTACATTAGGTAGAGGCCTCCAAATATCAAGGTTCTAGAACTGATTCTTCTTTGTTGGACTGGAAACTCACTTGATCCTTCTAGTTCTCATTGAGTTATATGATCTGCAGTCCCTTTCCTCTCAGATAGTATATGATTCTAATATGGAGCAGGTCATATTCCTGGTATCCTCAACGACACCAAATTGGAAAGCAATAAAATATTCTGGGCAGTGTGAATCAGGTAGAAGACCACAATTCCCTCTTGTTGTAAGCTACCAGTGAGCTCAGATATCAATTGGCTTCTCTGTTCTATAAACTGTAGCATAGTCTCCCATGGGTGGCATATCTGTATCCTGGATTGCTCACTGGGGTTTATCTATCAACTGTAATTTATGTTTTACCTGGTCTTATTACTGTGTCTTTTGTCTTCCTCAATTTTGTTTTTTTTCTTTAACATACTTTTGTCTTTAACATACAGCATACTTTGCTGTATGCATTCCTGTATGTTACTTCAAAATCTTTGTAGAATATGGTACTGGTAGTAAGATATTTAAAAACCTTTATCTAAGGAAACAAATAAATAAGGAAAAGAAATAAAATAATATCAAATTAAAAATACATCACTTATTCAGATATTTATGTATTTAAATATGTATTTTAAAAAAGTTTCTTTATATGTTTTTCTCTGAAGACAGCAAATGAAAATCTTAAACTAGAAGGTGAATGGAAGGGTTATAAAGACAGGAAAAAATGACAGCTAACAAGAGGTAACCATTTATTTTCCATATTAAAGGGAGAAGACAGATTCCAAAAGAGATAGAAAATTACCTTGTGTTTTATAGCACATTATATAAGTTGATATTCAGAATGAAGGCAACTCATTACCAAGACTAGGTTAAATAGTTTTCCCTGATGTTTTACTTGAGAAGGCAGGGCAAAGTACCTTTTTGTTTGGAATTGAAATTGCCAAAAGGGTTTAATCACTTTTACTGTGGTATGAGTTCATGTCTTACCAAAAACATGAGAAATAGGTTCTCTTGATTTGCATGGTAGATGCATTTCTAATGCCATTGGGAGGCTATGGTAACAGAAATACCTTTAATGTTCCATTCTCTTTTAGGGTTCTACAAAAAGTGCACTCTAATGTCGCAGGTCCTGGAGGAGGGAGTTCTCATAGCAGTCCACCTGATGGTTGAGGTGTGATCTTTTCATCTATTCTCCTGGTGTGACATGCATATTGGTGTACATGGGTTTTCTACCATTCGGCATGGTTCAAGTACTTGCTTTTATTCATTCTTTCTTCTTGAATTTGACAGACTTTTATCATGATAAGACTAAGTTACCTCCTCTATGTTATCTTCTGCTCTCCCCACCTTTTACAGCTCTGTGCCATGTGTCTGATTAGATACCCTCATCACTGGTGACAGGTTATCATCATCAACATATCTAGAGATTTCATCAGAAGCTAGGTCTCTGGGTCACTTCCCAAAGTGACATCTCTATTCTGAGGGCTTACCTGAGATGAGAGAGCCCTTTTATTTTTACAAAGTCCTTTTTCTGTTCACTGTTCAAAGACATTGGCTCTAATAGTTCAACATAAATCCTGCCAAAAGAAGTGCATAGGGTTATAGAAGCAAAGCCAAAAGACCCTATCCAACAATCTCTAGAGCCATACCACCTGGGAGAGGGGGTAGGAAAATGAAATAAAAACAATACCATAGGGAAAGAAAGAAAAAGAAAAAAAATTCTAGCCACAAGAAAATAATTACAAAAATTAGAAGTGCCAGCATCTCCAGATGAGAAGGGACTAGTGCAATAATTTTGGTACCGTGAAAAATCTGGATGTAATGACACCACCAAAAGATCACAGTAGCTTTCCAGCAATGACCCTTAACCAAAATGGAAACTCAGAAATGACAGATATATAATTAAGAGCATAGATTGCAAGGAAGCTCAATGAGATCCAAGACAAGATTAAAAATAAACACAAAGAAACTTCTAAATCAATCCAGGAAATGAAGGAAGAGATAAATATCTTAAAAAGAAATCAATCAGAGCTTCTGGAATTTAAAAACTCACTTAAGGAATTTCAAAATTCAATTGAAAACTTTATCAGTGGACTAGACAAAGCAGAAGAATCTCAGAACTTGAAGACAAGTCTTTCAAACTAGCCCAGTCAGACAAAAGCAAAGAAAGAAATTTTTAAGAAAATGAACAAAGTTGTTGAGAGATGTGGGATTATGTAACGTGACCAAAAATTCAAATTATTGGCATTCCAGAGAGAGGAAAAAAAGTAAACAACCTAGAAAACATATGTGAGGGAATAATTAAAGAAATTTTTCATAATTTTGCTAGAGTGGTAGACTAGATACAAAAAATGTAGAGAACACCTGCAAGATACAATGCAAAATGAACATCACCAACGCATAGCGTCACCAGACTGTCCAAGGTCAATGCTAAAGAAAAAAATCTTAAAGGCAGCTAGAGGAGAAGGTCAGATCACTTATAAAGGAAATCTCATCAAGCTAATAGTGGACTTCTCAGCAGAAACCTTACAAGCTAGGAGAGATTAGGGGCCTATTTTCAGCACTGTTAAAGAAAATAATTATTTTTTGAGATGGAGTTTTGCTCTTGTCACCCAGGCTGGAGTGCAATGGTGTGATCTTGGCTCACTGCAACCTCTGCCTCCTGGGTTCAAGCAATTCTCCTGCCATAGCCTCCCGAGTAGCTGGGATTACAGGCATGTGCTACCACACCCAGGTAATTTTTGTATTTTTAGAAAGAGACAGGCTTTTACTATGTTGACCAGGCTGATCTTGAACTCCTGACCTTAGGTGATCCACCCACCTTGGCCTCCCAAAGTGCTGGGATTACAGGCGTGAACCACTATGCTCAGACAAAAAGAAATTGTAACCAAGAATTTCATATCCCATCAAACTAAGCTTCATAAGCAAAGGAAAAATAAAATCTTTTCATACAAGCAAGCACTAAGGGAATTCATTACCATTAGACCAGCTTTACAAGAGCTTCTTAAGGGAGTTCTAAACATGGAAACAAAAGAATATAACCTGCTACTGCAATAACACACTTAAGTACATAGTAATTAAGACAAAGGTCTAATATCCAGAGTCTATAGGGAACTTAAACAAATCAACAAGTGAAAAACAAATAACCCCATTAAAATGGTTAAAGGACATGAACAGACCCTTCTCAAAGGAAGACATACAGGTGGCCAACAAACATGAAAAAATAATCCACGCCATTAATTATCAGATAGATACAAATGCAACTCACAATGAAATACTATCTCACGCTAGTCATAATGGCTATTATTTAAAAGTTAAGCAGTTTGGAGATTTATCTAAGATATTGAAACAGGGGTACCATTTGACCCAGCAATCTCACTCCTGGGTGTATATCCAAAAAATAAACCATTCTATTAAAAGGCATGCACTCATATGTTCATTGCAGTGCTATTCGCAATATCAAAAACATGGAATCCATTAGGTGCCCAAAGATAGTGGACTGGATAAAGAAAATATGGTACATATTCACCATGGAATACTACGCAGTCACAAAAAGAATGGAATAATGCCCTTTGCAGCAACATGGACGCAACTCGAGGCCATTATCCTAAGCAAATTAATGTAGGAACAGAAAGCCAAATACCACATGTTCTCACTTATAATCAGGAGCTAAACACTGGATACTTATGAACATAAAGATGGCAACAATGGAGACAGAGGACTACTAGAAGGCAGAGGGAGGAAGTGGGGCGAGTGTTGAAAAACTAACTGTTGGGTGATAAGATCACTAGTATCCCAAATCTCAGCATCATGCAATATACCCATATAACATACCTGCACACGTACCCCCTGAATCTAAAATGAAACTTCAAGGCTGGGTGCAGTGGCTCATGCCTGTAATCCCAGCACTTTGGGAGGCTGGGGTGGAAGGATTGCTTGAGCCCAGGAGGTTGAGGCTGTTGTGAGCCATGATCATGGCACTGCCTTCCAGCCTAGGTGACAGAGTGAGACATTGTTTCAAAAAATAAAGTAAAATGAAATGAAATGAAATAAAAGTTGAAATTAATAACCCCCCCTGAAAGAAACAAAAACTACCACCACAACAAAAGAAAGACATTAACTCTTTACACATTAGGATGCCCTATTCCTTATCTGAGCCATAAGATCTTGTCAGTCTTACTCAGGAGAAGGAGGGATACTCTCAGGATGGAACCATCATCCTGCCTAAATTTTTATAAATATTAAACTCTTAACTCTTAAACTCTTCTTGCATTATTATAATCTGATTGCCTCATCTCTGGGCCCTTGGCTGAGATAAAACCTGATAACAGTGAATTAGAGTTTTTTTGATTTAACTTAATGAGTGTTTGGATTCTGAGATCTGTTTTAGATTTATTCTTCTTTGTCTCAAACTCGAGTCCTTCAGTGATTTTTCCATGTTGCATTTATTAGCCAAGTCAATTAAAATTTTCCTGTATAATTTAAAGTTACTATAGGATTTTTTTCATTACCAAGGACATTTTAAACATCATTTATCATGGAATTATTGGGATAGTTTTATGTTCTGGTTAAGAGACTTGGAGGAATATTATAATCTTTTTAAAAAATGTTATGTGTTCTGACATTGTTTTGGTTGGAATACCTTTCTGGGTAGATATATGAGAAATAGGGAGAAAAGAATGCACTCAGTTGGCATTTGGGGAATAAATTATTTCCTTTTCCTTTCTCCATGGGCAAGGAGCATGAGATAAAAATAATCAGAATAAGGTCCTTAGGTATCGAGAATTTATTAGAATCAGAGCACTTACTAATTCAGAGCAAATGAGATCTATAGATTGTTAATTGCAGCTTGGTGTCTTTTATAAGAATGCCTCATGTAGCGAGCACATTGTCCCTTCACTAAATGAGTAGTGATTATCAGGGAGATTACTGTGATTTATAAGCTCATTTTCTTCATTTTACTTTACATGTGCCAGACACTGACTCATACAATAGAAAAACAAAACAAGCCTGATTTTAGAAATTAAATGCTTTATTGATTGTTTTATTGTTGCTCACAACAGAAAGTTATAATATATGGAATTTTTGAATATATGGTATATAAGTTAAAAAATACATGGTGGTGGTGGGGGGAACAACTTTATTGCAAGCTTTAGATTATAAACTAATTTTGGTGTACTACATTTCTGCCAGAATCGAAAGAGTGCCACCCAAATGGAGAAGAAATAATATGAATTATTGTTATGGAAGAAGAAATTATTTTCTTGGGAAAAGATTCTACTTTATTCTGGAATGTGCCCTTTTCAGGTAAGTGTGACTTCTATAGTAAGTAACATGCAGAATTTTCTCTTTAATCTTTATGGAGAAAAAGAGCCAGTGTGATGAATAATCAGACAGTCTGATCTGCAAGCAACATGCTACTCCTTATTTTTCAGTAAATGGTTTTTTGTAGCTTCAGATATCAGAGGAATTGATTGGATTCTTAAGTTATTTATACATGCAAGGTTAAGTGGAGAATTTGATACAATTATTGTGATTGTTGAGAGTTAGTAAAACACAGTAAAAGAGCTTGATCTCTGCAGTTAGACTCCCTAATATTCTGATCAGAGATCTGCCAGTGTGATCTTGGGCAATTTACTTAGCCTTTCTGTGCTTGAATTCTTCAACTATAAAATAGGGATGTTGATTAAAATTAAATGAGCGAATATACGTAAATTGAACAGTGTCAAACACATAATAAACACTAAATAAATGCTAACTATTGCTATCATTCAGACTAAATAAGCATGGGTAAAGATCTAGGGGCTGATTTTCACTAAACAACTGAAAGAAATGACTTAGAATTTCAACATTTAACAAACATTTTGAAGCAGTCCATTAATGTATATGTAATGTTTTAGTGTGAGAAATGTAGTATAATGAAAAAGGAATCCACCATTTTTGAAGAAATGTTATAGACTTTGAAGTCAGATGAACAAAATTATATTCCAGCTCTGTTCCTTGCTGGTGTGTGAACCTAGGGACATTATTTCACCTTATAGAGTCTCAGTTTCCACATCTGTAAAATGCTACCTTGCAATGTTGTGAGGATTTGTGTTACTGTTAATAGATACAGAGTTCTTAGCATAATGCTGGTACATAATAGGAACCAAACAGTAATTTAGTAGTTCTCTTCTGCCAGCTTGATAGCTAGAATCCTGTCTCTTCCAAGTCTGTCTTTTTGGGTCAAAGTAAGGGAAGAGAACTGGGGGAAAGTGAATCCACTGTTTTTTAAAATACATTTTTTTTTTTGGAGCAGTTTTAGGTTCACAGCAAAATTGAGTGGAAGGTACAGAGATTTTCCATATATTCCCTGCCCCCACTCATGCGTAGACTTTCCCATTATCAACATCCCCCACCAGAGTAGTACATTTGTTACAACTGATGAGCCTACATTGACATATCTCAGTCACCCAAGGCCGATAGTTTACATTAGGCTTCACTCTTGGTGTTATGCTTTTCATAGATTTGGTCAAATGTATAACAACATGTATCTACCATTATAGTATCAAACAAAGTAGTTTCACTGTCCTAAAAGTCCTTTGTGCTCCGCAGATTTTAGTTTTTCATTTTCTTGTTTTGATATATGAACCCTTATGATATATGAGTGTGAGATGGCATCCTGTGGGTAGACCAAGTCATCTCAGGAAGATTTTAGAGAAGGTTCTCGGTAGAGTCAATCAGTGTGTTAGTGGCAGGCACTGGGGTACAAATGCAGGATCACCTGACATGGAGCTGGTAGGCCAGGAGGGAGCATGGTATCCTGAGGGTACACTGAGAGAGAAAAATACATCAGCCATGTGTCTCACCAGGAGCAAGAGTCTCATGGAGGTCAATATTAGGCAAAGTCAGAGATTTGAGTGGGCAAAAGATGTTGCTGCCTTGTATCAGCAGGAATAGGGCACAGGATAGCATGTAGATTTGGAAGAGCAAGGCAGATTCCCAATTTTTGAGGTTCTAATACACTGCTCAGATTATAAAAGAAAAATCCACTAGAAGATGTGTGTGGTAGGAATTAACATTTATTCAGCATCTACTATGTGCCATATACAGTGATATATTTTCTATATGGTAGGTGTTATTATTCTGCATTTTAAAGATAATAAAATTGGGATTTGGAGAAACTAAGAAACTTGCCCAAAATCATAGAGCTAGCAAGTGGTGAAGCTGAGATCCAAACCAGACTGTCTTGTTGTTTAGAAAGCTAGCTGCTAAATCAAGGATACTAGTAGAAACTTGATCTCATGAAAATGGAAGAAACCTACATGTTATACTAGGCACACTGTTCAAGCCCAAGGTGTAGGGAAACTTGATCCTGAGTCATGCTGATGTGCTATATAGCGCCTTAAATTTCCACAGACTAAGTTCGGGAGAGGGCAAGTGATCTCAGCAAGAGAGGAGGAAGGCTGCAGGGAAGCAACCTCACAATTCATTGCCATGGTATCCCCCGCCACTGCAGTACTTTAAATGGTCCCCTGGAGTGTGTAAAGTGCAAGCATTAATGTACAGCTCTAAGTGCTTTTGCTGTCTAATTTGTTATCATGGAGTGACCAAGTAATATACGTATTTATGGTGAGCAACAGGGATTCTTCAGTTAGGGGTATAGAGGTATATTGGCAGTGTTTTATGTGGAAACTTTTTCTCTTCTCTGAATTTTCTTAAAATAAATCATGGTCAGAACCTCCTGTTTCTAAGGGAACTAGGAAAGCAAAGGCAAATATTATCATCACATTGGAAACAGGGTAAAAAGAGAGATGTCTTTATCACTAAGTTGTGCCAAAAGTTTAATATTTAACCACTTTTTTATAAAAGACCATAGAACAGAAACTGTATCTTGCATACTTAAGTTACCATATGAAGGTTGGATTTTTGAGGATGGTAAAGACAGGAATTGATTTCATCAAACTGATTACTCTAAGAGGCTGCCTCAGGCAAATCATTTTATATCACAGTCAATTATTTGATTTCTAACATTTAAAAAATTTGCATCAGAGGATATCAGGAAAAATGGAGAACAGTTTAGAAACAATTATATATCTCTTTTATCATGCAGTAAGCGATCTGATTGGTTAAAACATTCCTCTTATATACTCTGGGAAGGCTTGCTTGGACACAGAAATATTCCTAGGTCAGCCAAGTATCTTATTAGATTGTCAAAATTTGTAGATGGGAATATAGATAAATTGAAATTTTAAATATCCCAAGGGAATATTTACCCTTTTTCTAGATTGTGAAAATGACATATTTTGGAATGGAAGAAGATTTGCTCATTTGTCACCCCCTCTAACTTGTTTCCAAAGTCCCACAACATTTGCAAATATTTAAGTGTCTCATTGGGTTGGATCAGCCATACAAACCCAGCTCCTATAAAACCTTAGAATATATTATTAAATGCCTGGGATCACATCACCTTAAAACAAACAAAAACAAACACAAAATTGTTTTTTTTATTTTTTATTTTTAAATTATACTTTAAGTTCTAGGGTACATGTGCACAACGTGCAGGTTTGTTACATATGTATACATGTGCCACGTTGGTGTGCTGCATCAACTGCCTGAGTCTACACAGGCGGGCAGGCCTCCTTGAGCTGTGGTGGGCTCCATCCAGTTCAAGCTTCCTGGCTGCTTTGTTTACCTACTCAAGCCTCAGCAACCGCAGACGTCCCTTCCCCAACCTCACTGCTGCCTTGCAGTTCGATCTCAGACTGTTGTGCTAGCAGTGAGCGAGGCTCTGTGGGTGTAGGACCCTAAGAGCAAGGAGCGGGATATAATCTCCTGGTGTGCCTAAGACTGTTGGAAAAGCACAGTATTAGGGTGGGAGTGTCCCGATTTTCAAGGTACCGTCTGTCACGGCTTCCCTTGGCTAGGAAAGGGAATTACCCAACCCCTTGCACTTCCTGGGTGAGGCAACGCCCCACCCTGCTTCAGCTCACGCTCTGTGGGCTGCACCCACTGTCCGACAAGTCCCAGTGAGATGAACCCGGTACCTCAGTTGGAAATGCAGAAATCACCCTTCTGCGTTGCTCAAGCTGGGATCTGTAGAGTGGAGCTGTTCCTATTCGGCCATCTTGGAACCTCTCTAAAATTGTTTTTATCTTTGATTTTTTTTCCTTCTTTTTAGGTTCTGTCCACATGCCTATATTATCTTTACATTTTAATTGGTTAATTTAAATTACACAATTACAGAAATACACTCACTTTGCAGAAATTCCAACCCGGAAGTATAAAAAGCGAAAGTTACCTTTCAATTACCCCTCTCTCTTGAAATCCCAGAATCTTTATTAGGTCATCATTAACCATTATTAGAGTCTTAGTATGCATCAATTCATCTTTTTCAATGTAATTTATTGTATGCATGTACGCACACAAATACATATGTATTTTTAAACTGTATCACTTGTGAAACAAATTTTCTTCACATAATGATGTTTTTGACATATCTTTCCACTGAAATCCACCTCATTTAAAAATTACTGCATAGATTCTCAAAATGCGGATGGAATATAACATAGCCATTTCCTTATTGATGGACATTTAGATTGCTTTTCATTTTCTACTTTTATGAATCATGTTGAAATGTGTATTCTTGCATACACATTCATCCAAATAGGCAAGCATTTTACTATATTAGGTAGACAGTGGTGATATTACTGGGATGAAAAATATCTTCAGTTTGGTTGAATTTACTTTTGTTATTTTACATTTTTGTGGGTACATAGTAGGTGTATATATTTACGGGGTACATGAGATGTTTTGATACAGGCCTGCAATGTGAAATAATCATATCATGGAGAATGGGGTATTCATCCCCTTGGGCATTTATTGTTATAATTATTTCATCCTTTTTTTTTTTTTAAAAGCATCTTGAGATGATGTTATTTTCAAAATTTTTGGTTTTCTAATAAGTACTGTTAAGGTAATGACTTTTTCTCTGGGTATCACATGGCCTGCAGCAGAATGATTGATATCTGGTACTGATTATCATTTATTTCTAGAGGATTTTAAGATATGGTTAAAAAATACTCCATAGCACAAGAAAGGTGGTTTTAAAGTTAAAATTTTTTTTTTTTGAATTGGAGTTTCGCTCTTGTTGCCCAGGCTGGAGTGCAATGGTGTGATCTCAGGTCACCACAACCTCCGCCTCCTGGGTTCAAGCGATTCTCCTGCCTCCGCCTCCTGAGTAGCTGGGATTATAGGCATGCACCATCACACCTGGCTAATTTTGTATTTTTAGTAGAGACGGGATTTCTCCATGTTGGTCAGGCTGG